ATAGCAGTTCAGAACTCTTTGCTTTGTTTCTGTTGCCTCAAGTCTCCTCTTCATTGGTATGGAAATTGTTCAGCATTCACTGCCATATAAGAGGATGGTTATAGCAGTTCAGAACTCTTTGCTTTGTTTCTGTTGCCTCAAGTCTCCTCTTCATTGGTATGGAAATTGTTCAGCATTCACTGCCATATAAGAGGATGGTTATTACATAGCAGTTCAGAACTCTTTGCTTTTGTTTCTGTTGCCTCAAGTCTCCTCTTCATTGGTATGGAAATTGTTCAGCATTCACTGCCATATAAGAGGATGGTTATTACATAGCAGTTCAGAACTCTTTGCTTTGTTTCTGTTGCCTCAAGTCTCCTCTTCATTGGTATGGAAATTGTTCAGCATTCACTGCCATATAAGAGGATGGTTATTACATAGCAGTTCAGAACTGTTTGCTTTGTTTCTGTTGCCTCAAGTCTCCTCTTCATTGGTATGGAAATTGTTCAGCATTCACTGCCATATAAGAGGATGGTTATTATACATAGCAGTTCAGAACTCTTTGCTTTGTTTCTGTTGCCTCAAGTCTCCTCTTCATTGGTATGGAAATTGTTCAGCATTCACTGCCATATAAGAGGATGGTTATTACATAGCAGTTCAGAACTCTTTGCTTTGTTTCTGTTGCCTCAAGTCTCCTCTTCATTGGTATGGAAATTGTTCAGCATTCACTGCCATATAAGAGGATGGAAATTATAGCAGTTCAGAAAATTTTGCTTTGTTTCTGTTGCCTCAAGTCTCCTCTTCATTGGTATGGAAATTGTTCAGCATTCACTGCCATATAAGAGGATGGTTATTACATAGCAGTTCAGAACTCTTTGCTTTGTTTCTGTTGCCTCAAGTCTCCTCTTCATTGGTATGGAAATTGTTCAGCATTCACTGCCATATAAGAGGATGGTTATTATAGCAGTTCAGAACTCTTTGCTTTGTTTCTGTTGCCTCAAGTCTCCTCTTCATTGGTATGGAAATTGTTCAGCATTCACTGCCATATAAGAGGATGGTTATTACATAGCAGTTCAGAACTCTTTGCTTTGTTTCTGTTGCCTCAAGTCTCCTCTTCATTGGTATGGAAATTGTTCAGCATTCACTGCCATATAAGAGGATGGTTATTACATAGCAGTTCAGAACTCTTTGCTTTGTTTCTGTTGCCTCAAGTCTCCTCTTCATTGGTATGGAAATTGTTCAGCATTCACTGCCATATAAGAGGATGGTTATTATATAGCAGTTCAGAACTCTTTGCTTTGTTTCTGTTGCCTCAAGTCTCCTCTTCATTGGTATGGAAATTGTTCAGCATTCACTGCCATATAAGAGGATGGTTATTACATAGCAGTTCAGAACTCTTTGCTTTGTTTCTGTTGCCTCAAGTCTCCTCTTCATTGGTATGGAAATTGTTCAGCATTCACTGCCATATAAGAGGATGGTTATTACATAGCAGTTCAGAACTCTTTTGCTTTGTTTCTGTTGCCTCAAGTCTCCTCTTCATTGGTATGGAAATTGTTCAGCATTCACTGCCATATAAGAGGATGGTTATTTATAGCAGTTCAGAACTCTTTGCTTTGTTTCTGTTGCCTCAAGTCTCCTCTTCATTGGTATGGAAATTGTTCAGCATTCACTGCCATATAAGAGGATGGTTATTACATAGCAGTTCAGAACTCTTTGCTTTGTTTCTGTTGCCTCAAGTCTCCTCTTCATTGGTATGGAAATTGTTCAGCATTCACTACCATAAAGGGTTCAGTTCGAAATTTCAATCATCTGAAGACGGCCGGAACGTCGTGAATATGGCAACGAAGATGAGGACAAAAGTCCGAACAATATAAATAGTGTAATATTATACAAATATATGCAGATAGTAATACTCATGTCGAGAGAAAATTTGTCCTTTTTGACACGTTTTTTTTTTCGATCACACTTTTAAAACTTCCCCAGTTGTTGTGCAGTGTAGCATAACTATTGGTTCATTGTATTAGGTTGCCTCCCGGCATACAATGCGAAGCCGCGTCTAATTTAAATAATTCTATTGACACCCGCGGAGAGGTCTATTTTATCTTGATCTCAAGTGTTTTTCTTTGATGGACCAGTAGATAAATCCTTTTGAATTTCGGCTTTCTAAGCGGAAACCACTTTAACCAAAGGAGAATGGAAAGTAAATGGGTAAATGAGGGATTTTTGGAGATCAAGTGAGAACCAAACCGGAAATAGGTTATATCCGACTGCTAGTCTATATTAAGAGTCATGCTTGGGATAGGACAGAGTTTGGGCCTGTCCTTGGCTGGAAAGGGACATTCCCGTCACGCTGTTCCAAAACGTCTATTCGTATTGCCACGTCGGGATGTCTGGGTGAGCGATGAATTGTTAGGGGGAAGAGCAGACATAACAAAAGTTTTCCCAAATCTCAACTACCTGTTCACACGGATTCCTGAAAAAAATCAAATCATGTAATAATTATCAGTAATTATCAGTATTTATTTATATATTTCCTGTCTCGTTTGCAGTGGGGAATTTGGTAAATCAACTTAAGTTCGTAAATTTATCAATGATTATTCTATTAGTCCTTTTCATAATATATAAGAATAAAATATTTATCTGAATTTTTACAAACTTAGTCCGCGAGTAAAAGGAACTGTTTCATTAATCAGTTCCTTTATTCTTGCGTTTCTTAGATTGCAGTCTTATTTGTTCAAGCTTTTCATGTGAGGCAGTTAGATACCCGTATCTATTAAGTGATCGTCTTGCTTGAAGTTGGTCTTTAAATAGCTTTGCCGTTGTTGTTTTTTGTTGTTCTGTTGCTAATCTTTTCCGAGAGATATTTTTATTTCACTGGTATATTAAGCATAACAATTTCAATATGAAAATATATTGAACAAAAAAGGGTAATCAATAAATCATCAATACCATTGATCGTCCAACAGATATAAGGGAAACGGATTAATTAAACAGTTCATTGGCCTCTATTTTAGAAATGAATTCTTTATTTCCGCTTTACTGAATCTCAATACGCTGTTTCGAAACTTTTGTTTCACTGCATCTGATTATTAAAACTTCCTAACAAAATGCCGTCATTTTTTGACGGCAATGCTACATCAGTCTGCACGGTTCGCGTTCTTATTTATCGACTTGGCGTTTAGCTTTCATTGTATTGCCTTGTGAGCATACATCGCGCCCTTGCCCAGCTTTTCGGCGTATACCGACGAGGTTGAAGACTGAAGTGCAACATCGGGGTAATCATTGGTCAGTCGGTGGAAATCTTGGGTAAGGGTCGCGGTCTATGTTTAAACAAATATAATGAGATCGATCCTCACTGGGTGTCTTATTAATGAAGCCATGCGCCGAGCTCAACTAAACTTAATACATATTGGCACTTTGCCTCGTAATGGTAAACTAGCTAGTTTATTAATAATAAGCACTTAGTTCCAAGCTGCTGTGGTGTAGAAATAAAAATTAAATAAACAAAATTGAAATAAATATATATTTTTTAAAGCATTTCACCACAAGCAAGCCTGACAGCCACTAGCACGCAAGCGGTTACATAGGATTTGGAGCAAGATCAGATAGGAGTTATAGAGGAAAGGATGAAGAGAAGGATAGTGGATAGATCAAGGCAAATGGAGATGTCTATTGACATTACATTTGAATAGTTGGAGATTATAGCTATCAGGGAAACAGTAAAAGGGAAGGGTGTTCCACAGGCGAGAGGTGCAAGACATGAAGCTATTGGAGTAGAAGAGACGGCTGCATTTAACAGTTTCAACAGTGAAAGGCCTTCATACGACTTCGGAACCGCCTGCGACTCTTCTAGACTGTCTCTTTCTGTAAGTTGGTTAATGCTGCCATAATCCTTGCTTCAGTTCATTTTTGATTTCACAAGATTTTTTGTCTCTCCCTCAACTGCGCCCCACACATAATTCTCAAGGGAGTTGCAGTCTGAGAAGTTAGGTAGCCAGATGTAAAGAGTGATGTAGCTGCAGATATTGTCTAGCAACCATGACTGGGTTGTCCTGCTTGTGTGATATGGTACAGTGTCCAGTTGCCAGACATAGGGTCTTCCACCCTCTTGACCCAGGACAGAATTACTTCCTTATGGTATTTGATGTAGGCATCCGCGCTGAGACTGGGGCTCTCACGAACAAATGCGGGTGTCAGAACGATCAGAGTGAGTTTTCCGAGATGCCGTACCTCCGTAAAACTCATCAAACTCATCCAACTGTTTCCTCTGCACTGTCCTCAGATTGATACCCAAGCACTCTGTAACATTCATATTGAAGGTACCGGTGCGAATGCCAAGCAGTACAGAATACCGTTTTCCAATTTCTGACGGAGTGAATTGCGTCATAGTGCTCTTTTTCTCACAGACGGTGCCCAACTGACCCTACCATAGTATGCAGTCGACAAAATCGAAAACAAACACGCGAAAAATTAATAATATAAAATGTTGACAATTTAACCATCGCACTCCCTATAGGTAATATGAAATAATAATATATAGGTAAGAGGTAATATACAGATATAAAATAAATAGATATAATTATATATAGGTACACTATTTACATTATTCGGACTATTGTCCTCATCTTTGTCGCCATATTTATTACAACGTTTCGGCCATTGTACGCTCCGGCCTTCTTCAGGTGGTTGGAATGTCGAACTGAACCCTTTATTTCGTTCACTGGGGTAGACTGTTCTAGTTCCACGTGCCATGTTTAATGGATGTCAGTTATCAGTTATCTCATGTTAATTCCCCTCTCGAAGTTCTCCGCTGCCTTAACCGGGTATTGAACTCACATTCGTTGGGTCCTGTCAGTGGATCTAACTGACGCTTTTATACACTTTAGCCATGTGTCCTTGAGGAAATAAAGGGTTCAGTTCGCCATTCCAACCGCCATATTATATATATATATATATATATATATATATATATATATATATAAACCAAGCTACATCCATTAAGGGTATATGGCTGAATCAGGTTGACACATTGGTTCTCGTACGATCGCCGAAGTTAAGCAACTTCGAGCTTGGTCAGTATCTAGATGAGTGATCGCTTGAGAATACCAGGTGCTTTAAGCTTGGATGTGCGGGCGGTGTAATGGGTAATGGCTCGGGATTGTTAATCGGAGAGTAGAGTTCCAATTCATGTTAGGTTCGTTATATTCACTTACGCGCAAATACACTTGGGAAAAGTACGAATCCATGTCTTCTCCCCCAGCTATGGATTAATTAGCAAAATTATATCACTAAACCATTATTATCTCCCCGCCCAGAAAAAATTCTTACAATCAAAAAAAAAAAATTTCTGGCTTTATTGATTCACATGTCCTTGCCTCTCGTAATTATGTCCACAGAAACATGTATCTACACAAAAGCAGCGTATCATTTACCATGTATTCAATTGTGAAAGCAGAATAACATATATCATTTTTTTTATTTCTTCAAATCTCTCAAGAAAATTATATTTCAATGTTAAATGACCCATAAGGAGTTGATATGCCGTTAAAGAAACACATCAATAAATCATATTTCCATAAAAAAAGACATTTCAATCTGAGTAATTCGGACGTCGCCTGAATTATATAAAAAAAATTCACTAAATTAGACTTCTGAAGTCCACTCTTTTTTTCTTTCCACTACTGACTGATTGATTTCTTTTTTACGGTTTATCAACCCTCTGTGGTTTATTTAAAGCCGAAACGTTTTGCGGTTGTAAGAGTAATTCTTTTTATATGCAAGTTAATATTTTATTAGCAATTATTTCTGAGACTAAAAATATTTTTTCCGTATAAGATTTCTACTATTTAACCCATAGTTGGAGCTGTAGTAGAGCGATTCCTACCTTTCCCAAGGGTATTTGTGCGTAAGTTAATATAATGAACCCAACTGAACTCATATCTACGACTTCTCATTGGAAGTCACTATCCCTTACACCACGGGTACATACGTTCTTTTTTTCTGATACTGTAGTGAGTTCCTTCCTAACATTTCTGCTACTGTGAGAAAATGATCAACATCTTGGTTATGTTATTATTTCTTCATCTAGTTACAAGAGTTCCGAGCTTTCTTCAATTTGTTACTGCTGTTTTTGTTTGTTTCTTTGCTGTTTTTGTTGATTTTTTTTTTTTTTTGCTGTTTCACTTTTTTGCAGTTTTTGTTGATTTTTTGCAGTTTTGTGTTTTTGTATTTTTGCTGTTTTTACTGTTTTTGTAATTTTTGCCGTTTTTGTTTCTTTTTTTGCTATTTTTGCGTTTTGCTATTTTTTTTTTTTTTTTTTGCATTTTTGCTGTTTTTGAATTTTTTGCTGTTTTTGCTTTTTTGCTATTTTTACTTTTTAGCTGTTTTTGTTTTTTTTTTGCCCTTTTTTGATTTTGGTATTTTTTTCTGTTTTACAGTTGTTTTGTTATTTTTTGCTGTTTGTGTATTTTTTGTAATTTTTTACTCTTTTGCTATTTTTTTTCTTTTTGCTGTTTTTGTTTTTGTTTTTTTGCTGTTTAATTTGTTGTTGCTTTTTTTTTAAGGTTTCAAGTGATGCGGTTTTGGCTATTTGGTAAAGAGCTTTGTGATTCTGTAGCTGCGGTACGTAGCGTCGCTTGTGGGATCTTCAAAAGCAATTCTGATCAGTCTACAATTTTTAATGTTAGTCGTTTCCTTATATGGAAACATTCTGTATTCATTGACCGAGCAGCCAGTGCCATTGTCGGTTGTAATTAAAAAAAAAAAAACCTTTCTATTAAAACAATCTTTCAGGAACATACGTATCTCAAGTCATTTTAATGTTTTCCATTTACCCTAAAATTTTCCACCCATAGAAATATAGATCTTCTATCATTATTCAGACGTAACATGAAATGAGCAACAAATGCCTTCTGTGTTGCACTTACAGATTCGACATTCTAAAAAAAAAAAACATTTCAAGAGCAAACGCATGATTTGCACCTGGCCAAGCAATAATGGTAACTGAAAAAAAATATGGTAAGACATCAGCTACGTTTAGTCACCATTGACACTTGCCTAAGTTCACTAGCATCATAGGGGTGACAGTTAAAAATGTGGGAGATATTTCTGACGCAACCTGTATCTATATGTATATATTTCACTGTTATTTAATTAAAGGCCTACAGTTTTTATTCATCTGGTTTTACAAATGACAACCTCCAAATGGTGGCCTCTGTTCGCCATAAACTTTTGTAGTCGATTCCTAAAGTTTTCCATCACCCAGAATTTCGAGCGCTTCCAGGCGGCTTTCTTTTAAGTACTGAACCCATAGCAGTATCGATCTTCTATCGTCATTAAGATGTAACATGAAATGAACGATAAAAACCCTCGGTGTTGCAGTTACAGATTCGCCAGTCTTAAAAAAAAACCTTTCAAGAAGAAACGCATGATTTTCACCTGTCCAAGCAATGGCGGCAACTGACTATCTGAAAAAGTATTGTATTAGCTACGTGAAGACAAAATTAGCACTTACCTATGTTCATTATCATCACACAGGTTGTTATACCGGAACATTACCTATTCTATTGTAATAGACTTTCCCACACATAATAACTAGTAGTAATAGTAGCGGTCGCCAGTTGGGCTCAGTGGAGTTGAGTGAGTCAGTCGATGTCGGACATTGAAGTATCAACCACCCCATCTAGATTGCTGCGTCATTAACTCTTATATCAAGTTTCTAACGTTTTGTACGTCGGACCCTTTTAGGACCGACTTAGCGAAATACAAGCCTCCACTGTGAAAACTATTCTACAACACAGGTAAAAGTTTAAAATGTGGATGACTTTTCTGGCGTACTGTGAATCTATATAGATTTGACTTATTAAAAAAAGGGCTACAGTTTTTATTTATTTAGTTTTAAAAATGACATCCTCCAAATGGTGAATCTTTCCATCACCTGGAAGTTTGACAACTTCGAGGTCTTCTAGGTGGTTTTATTTTAAACGCTGAATCTGTGGTTTTAAAATTTGCAGCCCATAGCAATATCGATTTTCTATTCGGAACAGCACCATTTCGACGTAATATGGATTGAAAACGAAAAGATCTCTCTATTGCAATTACAGATTCACTGGTCTTAAATAATGTTTCAAAGTAAGAGGTACGGTATGCACAGGTCTATGCCATGAGTGAAACTAATGATATCTAAACGGAATTTTTTTTAAGCATTTCACCCTAAGCAGGGCAGGCGTGCCACTAGCACTCAGGAGGTTATGGAGAGTGAAAATGAGAGAAAAGAATGGGTGTGGGAGGAATTGAGGAAAGAAATAAAGGGCAAAGATCAAGGCAACAGAAGATGGCGATTGACGTTGTATTTAAATTTTTGATGATGGTAGTTATCAGGGAGGCAAGTAAGCGAAAGGGAATTCCACTATCGGAAAGTGCGGGAAAAGCAACTGTTGGAGTTGACGGTTACATATAACGTTTTCAGCAGTAAATGGGTGGGACCTAGGCGCCAATCTAGCAGCACGCTTGAATTCCTGTAGTCGGGGCACCAGATAAAAAAGCTCGTCAGGGCAGTAAACATGGAAATATTTGTAGAAAAGACAGAAGGAGAAAGTGTCTGAAGTCGAGAAGCCAATTCAGGACCGATTACATTATTATTATTATCATTATTATTATTATTATTATTATTATTATTATATTATGACCAATTCCAGATACTTTGAATTTTGTCGAGCACCTCGAAATGAACAGCAGGGCCACAAGACCAGATATGGCAAAAGTATTCAATTCAAGTACATATGCTAGATTTGTAGATGTATAAGGTGGACTATGGTAAAACAATATCTCGATGAAGGCACTATTGCCAGTTGTGTAAGTTCACCAAAACCACAGAGCTGACAGTTTCGATGTATAGAACGCAAACAGATTTGGTGTTAAATTCTCGTTTAAAAGTTACTCTGTTTATTCACTGAAAAATACAGTAAGCCACAAGTTGGGTTTCTTCGCTTTTCTATCAAAGAAATTCTGTGAACGACCGCTTGGTGGCGTTACCACTGTAGGTTTCAAAAGAGATTAACTTAGTGATAAGACGCGTCTCGTTCGTCTCTGAAAATCCTTTTGGTCACCAATGAACTACGTGTCGTTTTAAACATACTACAGAATGATATACATCATACCAACTGTTATCGCATTTTGCAGTATTAATTCATTTTTAACCTTTTGTTTGAATACGTTTCGAATGTCAGCATCTTGATTTTGTCACTATTTTCTCTTCTAGTTTCATGTACTCTCCATTTAATTATTGCTGTTGTCTTTAGTCATCATGAGATGTGGTTTCTGTTGTTTGGTACAGTTCTTTGTTATTATGTGGCGCCAGCGCACAACGTTCGAAGAGGCATTGTTTTTTTTTACGACATACGGGGTTTAGTCGTAGGAAATGATATTTAACCAGTGGTCTAATAAAACCGTTGTATACAGCTGGCATTGTATACAGTTCTGTAAGTGTCAGGCATAAGACTATATGAGAAACTACATTCGGCGAGGATATTTAATAACATTACTCACATTTCTAGGTTTATACCTTTTTGTTTTGCAACACCTTGTGGTATTGTTAGAAACTACCTCTATTGCAACTTATCCTGTATTCAGTTTCAGTATCCCTTATACTACATTTGTTACTATTGTTCCATAGGCCGAGTTATTTAAAGTGTTTAGTATTTATTATTTTCATATCCTAAATTTTTATAATGTATTCAGAGTAGGCGCCATCACTGCCTTTATTCATGTTTCTGTTTTGGAAACTTTATATTGAGTCCGAATTCTTGAAACCTTTGCTAGAGTATGTTGATTATTCGTTCTAATCATTCTTATCCCAAATATGAATACCTATGCCATCATCATATCTCTCTTCCTCATCAGAACCCTGTTTTTGAAAGGTTTCTCTTGGGTCCAACATCTTGAAATCCTTGATATAAAATTTTGATTTTTGGTTCAAGATCATTCTTATCCCGACTATGAATACCTATGCCATCAGCATATCTCTCCTCCTCATCAGTACCCTGTTTTGGAAAGGTTTCTCTTGCGTCTAACTTCTTGAAACCCTTGGTAGAGAATGTTGATTTTTAGTTCAAGA